ACATCCTTAAAGGGATAGTACGTGATAGCACTATGCGATGGATGGGGCATAGTAGCACCAAGTCGTCCAAAGATGGCGCAATGATAAGATGCCCAGAGTAGGCGCACAAAGAATAACATTGATAAGACATCTGAGATAGATGCACAAAGATTATTACCTGTGAAAGGTACACAAGATTATTAATGTCATTTAGGGTCACGACATACAAAGAACAATAACATTAGGATACAAACAAAATTAACAGAGTGTTAAGATTTAACATTAACAAGATGTTAAGATGCAAATATTTACAAACATTAAATTAGTAATTAGGATAAATATTATTGAAGAATAGTATCAATAGATTTTCATATAGCAAAAAATGTCTATTTAAAGACAGGAAAATGACCATAAAGCAACATGGATCATCAGCAAAAAATAACTGAAATACTACAAAAGAATTATAACAAAATAGCTTATTACGAAAAGATAATAACAAGTTTAGAATTTACATTAGAACTTGAAGAGACTGAACAACATCAATCTTACCAAGAATTAATTCAGATATTAATTGAAGAAGAATCAACTTCACAAGCTTGATAAAAGCAATCAAAGAAATACAACAAAGTTCTGAAGAAAGATTTGAACAAACCTTAGAATTAGCAAAGAAAATTGCACTCAAAAAAGCAGAAATATACAAAGAATCTGCAAAAGAAATTTATGAATCAATCAACACTCAGTAAAGAAGAAACAGATAAACAACTAAAATTTACAGAAATAGTACAGAGAAACTATAAAATATCAAATTATTATACTGACTTAGCATTCAGTCTAGAAGCAATCTTACGAGAAGGAAAAGAAGGTCAACAACAGTCATACCAAGACTTGATTAACAAAATATCAAAAACAGATAAACCAAAGAAAGAACACAAAAAATATCTTATAACAGAAATAAAAAATTCTGAGAATAAGAAGGAACAAATTATAGAACTAGTAAAATACTTCTTTCACCAAGCATAAAAGTAGACGATAAAGCAATAAAAGAAATTGATGAACTCTTTGGAAGAAATTAATGAACCCTACCAAGAAAACATTTGAAGAATCAATTGATGAATTAAAAGAAACAGTTTTAGATCAACTAAAAAAAAGAGAATCCTTTGAAGAAAGTGTAACATTTGATAGAAATCACTTAGTAGCTAAAGAACATATCTGAAGAGAGTAGAACATAATATATATTCGAAACCTAATCAATCAAAGAAGATCAATTAAAACTATAACTAAAGAAGACCAATATAACTATTATACAGAAGCTATAAAACTCAAGTGGACTATAGGATATCAAGATACCACAGATCAAATAGCAAAACAATTCTCAGAAGCAAAGACATACCATGATTGGTCAAAGATAATTGAAGATAAATTAATTGATAATTATGATTATATTCCAACAGAATATAAAAGCAGAAGAATATATTATTACGAACTAATAAGTCTTATACCAACTCTAGTAGAAATATATAATCCAGAAGAAGTGAATGAGCAGAACTTGTAAACACTGTTTTATAGAACAGAAAAACTGTATTAGAAGTCAAGAAATAGGATCCTGTGATAATTGTATAATAACAGGAAGATTCTGTAAAGTAGAATTAAAAGAAAGAAGTACAAGAGAAAAAGAAAAACTTCCAAGAAAGAAATTAGAACCAACATACAGTAACTGTACAATCTGTAACGAATTTAGAAGAGTAAATCAGGTAGAAAAAATCTGTAAGAGTTGCAAGATAACAATTAACAGAAAAGAAACTGAAAGAAGAAATCAGGAATTTCTTGAATCAGTAAAACTTCAACAAAAAACAATACAAAATTGTAAACATTGTCTAGAAAGACATAAAGAGTGTATAAAGAAAATAGAAAGACAAATCTTTAATTTGGATGCAATTGCAGTA